ACCTGTTGCTGCGCACACGTGGAATGTGCTATGGGGATTTGTTCATCAAAGGGTGATTTCTTAATTGGCCAATGGTGGTGTTTTAATTAAAGGACCAATGGGGTCAAACTGTATCAGACTCTGAGGGCGACAGGATTCTTAATAAGTATAGAATAATAAAAAGATTGATCAGCCTTCTGAGAATCATGTGTTCTATATAAAAGTGTCTATGTAAGTGACAACATCACTTTATATAAGGCTATAAAACTTCCATATAAAAGTGTTTATATAAGTGATAACATCACTTTATACAAGGCTATAAAACTTCTCTTAACAAATGTACCTGATATTTGCATTTTAATTGTGAGAGTCAACCATCACATTACTCATTATCACATACAGGAGAATTCCCATTGATCCACCAGCATAAATTCACTTTTTGCTCATCCTCACCTTTACTTTCTTTCTTTATCTCATTTTCAGTAGCAAAAGGGGTGGGAACACCAGATTTACAAATATTCTGAATTCCTCAGGGCGACATCAATCCTCCTCCTTCAATATGTAAGAAATACATTCAATTCCATATATTATATATATGAAATACATTCGAAATGGAATTATATCTTTCAAATATTCAAACTAAGAAATATAGGGAAATAAATATTGAAACTATGGAAGGTTTGGGGTGGCGTGCGGACACCAGGTTTACAAATATTCTGAATTTCTCGGGGTGACATCAATCCTCCTCCTTCAATATGTAAGAAATACATTCAATTCCATATATTATATATATGAAATACATTCGAAATGGAATTATATCTTTCAAATATTCAAACTAAGAAATATAGGGAAATAAATATTGAAACTATGGAAGGTTTGGGGTGGCGTGTGGACACCAGGTTTACAAATATTCTGAATTTCTCAGGGTGACATCAATGCTCCCCCGTTCCCTGGAAGGTTTGGGGTGGCGTGTGGACACCAGGTTTACAAATATTCTGAATTTCTCGGGGTGACATCAATGCTCCCCCGTTCCCTGGAAGGTTTGGGGTGGTGTGTGGACACAAACTGCAGGTCCCTAAAAAATCTGTGTTTGAATTTCCAGCCCAGTGACTCGCTCTGCACCTGCCCCCCCAGATTTAGGAGCTCTGGGAGGGATGGAAATCTCTGTGTCAGGAAAACCTACCCCGTGTGCCGGGACTCAGCCTCCCGAAACCAGGAGGGGCAGTGCCTGACCAAGAGAGGATGGGCTCGCTACTGCTCCCACAAGGTATTCAGGTTTTTTTTTAATTTTTTTTTTTTTTTGTTAAATCCCCAAACCAGGTAGAAAATACCCCAAAAAGCAAAATTCCCAGACACGGAAAGCATTATGTTTTTTAATTTTTTTTCTATTAAATGCCCTAAACCAGGCACACCAGGAGGGGCAGTGCCTGACCAAGAGAGGATGGGCTCGCTACTGCTCCCACAAGGTATTCAGGTTTTGATTTTTTTCTTTTTATAAATCCCCAAAACCAGGCAGAAAACACCCCAAAAAAGCAAATTTCCCAAGCTCTCCCTTCCAGGGCACACCCAGCGTGGCACTCCAGGGTTATTTGTGTTTTCTGAGGAGGTTTTACCTTTTTTCCAGCTTTAGGAACTCACAGCACACTAATTTTTTAAAAATTATTTTTTTTTAATCCCCAAACCAGGTAGAAAATACCCCGAAAAGCAAAATTCCCAGACACAGAAGGCATTATGTTGTCTTCTTTTTTCTGTGAAATCCCCAAACCAGGCATAAAAAACCCCAAAAAAGCAAAATTCCTTAGCGCTCCCTTCCAGGGCTCCCCAAAACAAAAAGGCGTTTTTTTTTTTTTTTTTTTTTTTTTTTTTTTTTTTTTTTTTTGTTAAATCCTCAAAACCAGGCATAAAACACCCCAAAAAAGCAAATTTCCCAAGCTCTTCCCTTCCAGGGCACACCCAGCATGGCGCCCATGGGTTATTTGTGTTTTCTGAGGAGTTTTTATCTCTTTTCCAGCTTTAGGACATTCTGGATTTTTAGGCACTGCTGTTTCCCCCCCTCTCCCCAGGTCTGTGCTGTGCCCAGGGATTTCCAAGGCTATGACAAATTCCTGGGGCTCTGCGTTTGCCGCTCGGACAGCCTGGAGAGGGTTTGCAATTCCCAGTGCAGAAAACAACAAAAATCCACCCTGCAGCTGGGCTGTGCAGGGAAAAAACCTCAGCTTTTCATCACCCACAGCAACGGGAGCAAGGTGACAAAAATTCTGATTTCCACCATCTCTCTCTTCTCTCAGGCTCTGCCTTTTTTGCTCAGAAAATCCTAGAATGGAACCAGAAAAAAAAAAACAAAAACCCAAATGTTTTTCTATCACACACCTAAAGCGCTTTTTGATTCTGTTTCAACCATGAGGGAAAAAAAAAATTAAGGTTGAAAAAGAAACTCTTCTCTCAGGCTCTGCCTTTTTTGCTCAGAAAATCCTAGAATGGAACCAGAAAAAAAAAAACAAAAAACAAACAAACATTTTTCTATCACACACCTAAATCGCTTTTTGATTCTGTTTCAACCATGAGGGAAAAAAAAAATTAAGGTTGAAAAAGAAAATTTAAAAAAAACTGAATTATTTTTCTTCCAGACTGTTGTTAAAAAAAAAAACAAAAAACAAACAAACATTTTTCTATCACACACCTAAATCGCTTTTTGATTCTGTTTCAACCATGAGAAAAAAAAAAATTTAGGTTGAAAAAGAAAAAAAATAATCTGAATTATTTTTCTTTCAGACTGTTGTTTTCTTAGAGAACTTAAGGAAAGTTCTGCCAACACCAAATTTCTCTTTGGAAGATGTTTGTGCTGCAGGACAGCGAATCCATCCGGCGCACGTCGTGGAGATGAGTGGTGAGGGAAAGGAATTATCAGGGTGTTTAATGGGGTTTGCACATGAAAAAGCCATTCTGTGGGGTTTAAAACACAAATAATGAGAAATATCCAGGTTTATTCCCGAGAAAAATGTAAGTTCAGCACTCCAGAAAAAATTTATCCTGCTCAGCCCCAGAAGAATCGTTTGAAATTTGTGTATTTCCAAAGGAAATTTGTGTATTTCCAAAGGAAATTTATGCATTTCCAATGGAAATTTGTGTATTTCCAATGGAAATTTGTGTATTTCCAATGGAAATTAGTGTATTTCGAAAGGAAATTTGTGTATTTCCAATGGAAATTAGTGTATTTCGAAAGGAAATTTGTGTATTTCCAAAGGAAATTTATGTATTTCCAAAGGAAATTTGTGTAGTTCCAAAGGAAATTTATGTATTTCCAATGGAAATTTGAGTATTTCCAAAGGAAATTTATGTATTTCCAATGGAAATTTGTGTATTTCCAATGGAAATTTCTGTATTTCAAATGGAAATTCATGTATTTTCAGTAGAACAGGTAAAATATTCAAGGGTTTCCTTCCTAAATAAACAGAGCTGGAATCCCTTCTCAGCTCCTTTACTTGCATTGATTTCAATTGAGATTTTAATGTATTTATTTTATTTTTTTAAAAAAGTATATATTTTACTAATTTCAATTTTACCAAGTAAAGTTTAAAGGAGTTAAAAAAGTTTTTTCCCTCAGAAATCCAGATCCAGGCCAAAAAGCACAGTTTGCACAGCCAGAAAATTGAACCTCAGCATCAGAAAAAAACCATTTCCCCCTGTGCAGGTTCATTGATTTCAACCAAGTTGCTGGATCCAAAAAAAAACCCTAAGGGTTTTCATTAAAAAAAAAAAAAGAACCTCAGCATCAGAAAAAAACCATTTCCCCCTGTGCAGGTTCATTGATTTCAACCAAGTTGCTGGACCCAAAAAAAAAACCTAAGGGTTTTCATTTAAAAAAAAAATCATTTTTAATTAAAATTTATTTTTCAAATGTTCAAATATTTTCCAAATGGCCCTAGAATGAGAAGAATGTGCTAAAAATGCTCCCGTATGGGTTTAGAGCTTGGGGGCTTTGCTGAGCAGATACTCTGGAGGGGAAAAGCAAAATTCAGAGCAAAATTAATTCTGAAAACCAGAAATTATTGATTTTTTTTTTTTAATCACTCCAGGGAAAGGATTTTTAGGGGTTTATAACCCTGACCCTCAATTAATTCACGACCTCGTGGTGCAGGATGAGGCTTCGGCACCTCAGGCAGCGAATCCTCCCTCGGCAGCAGCTCCAGGTGAGCTCTCCTGCAAAGCTCCTCAATTTCGGTTTAATAAAAATATTTTAAAATTAATTTCTAAATTTTGTCAGGAGCACGCAGCCCCTACCCTCAGAATTCCCTCGGAAAATGCCCAAAAAAGCAGAATTCAGTGTGTCCGTGCTGCTCCTGAGGTGCTGCTGGGGTTTTTTCTGTTCACATTCCACACTTGGGGCAGAGCTAAATTACACATAATATAATTGTAATTAAATGTAACATAAATAAAAAATAAAGTTACATGTATGCATATATATAATATATAGAAATTTCAATATTATTCAGTCATAGAAATTATATAAAAATATATATTTTAATATTATTATATGTAAAATTAAATGTATATATATTTAATGTTTAAATACTGCTTTTTAGTATATATACAATTATATATACATACATTATTTTTTATTTATTTCCAAGTATTTACAAATCTCTATTTTAAAATTTTATATATTCTATTTTTATATCTTAAAAATATTTATATATTTATGTATAATATATAAAAATTAAATATTATTGTTGTATATAAAATTAAATTTGCATATATATATGTAGGGGGTTTTAATATATGGTTATATAGCTATATATATTATTTTTCCAGGCCAGAAAAATTCATTATTTTTAACTATTTATTGTATCTATTATTTATATCTATATATTTATATATTTATATATAAATATTCACATATTTATATATTATATATCTATTTATTTCTATATTTTTATGAATGGATAAATTTTTATTCATTCATGAACCCACTTACGAATATAAAAAGGATTTCTTTGCTGAGGCTGCTCTGTGCTCCCCAGACGCCCCTGGCCCCGCGGAGTGCCGGGATCCCACCCCGAGCCCCCCGAATTCCACATCCCGGCCCCTCTTTTTGGGCATCCCCAACCCCATCACCTGCGTCAGCGGCAGCGCCACCCTCCTCTTCCTCAGCACCCCGCAGCACTTCCCCCTTTATGACGTGTGAGTACCGATTTCTATTTGATATCAATGTAGCAAAGGAGCCCGGCTCGCACAACCCCACAGCAGCCGCGAGATGCTTCAGCTGTCACCAGGGTGGGCTCTGTGGGATCTGGGAAGAGATGGATCTGGCTCCTTGTGCTCAGAAGGCTGATTAATTATCATATTATATCATATTATATTATAGCGTATTATATCATATCATATCATATCATATCATATCATATCATATTATATTATATTATACCATATTATATTATACATATTATTCCATATTATACCATATCATACTATATCATATTAATCATACCATATCATATTATACTATATTATACCATAATAAATTATACTATATTATATTATACCATATTATACCGTGTTATATTATACTACATTACATTACATTGCATTATATTATATTATATTATATTATATTATATTATATTATATTATATTATAGTATAGTATACCATATTATATTATACCATATTATTTCATATTATACCATATCATACTATATCATATTACATCATATTACATTATATTATATTATATTATATTATATTATATTATATTATATTGCATTATTTATATTATATTATATTATATCATACCATATCATATTATACTATATTATACCATATTATATTACACTATATTATATTATACCACATTATACCATGTTATATCATACTACATTACATGACATTATATTATATTATATTGTAATATATTATATTACATGATATATTATATTACATGATATATTATATTACATGATATATTATATTATATTATATTATATTATATTATATTATATTATATTATAACTATACTAAACTACAGAGAAGAGATCCATCAGAAGGCTCAGCAACAATGGATAATAAAAACTCGTGGCTGACTCAGAGCCTGGCTCAGCTGGCTGTGATCGGTCACTAGGAAAATCAATTCCCATTTCTGATAAACAATCTCCAGGAGAAGCTGCAGCTCCTCGGCTTCCCAGGAGAAAATCCTGGGCAAGGGGGTTTTCCCAGAAAACATGACGGTGACATTCCAGCACAGAACTGAAAGGAAACACGGCAGGGAACAGGAAAATTCTCATTATTAAAAATAATTCCGTGTATTTTCCACAGAGAGAGCTGTTCACAGCGTTTAAATCATCAAGAAATTCACATTTACTCATCGAAATAGGCAAAATTAAATCTCTGCTTACTGCTCCTGATGCCTTGTGATGCTGTTTCTGACCTAGAACTCTTTTTGCACAGTAAATAAAAATTCCTGCTCCTCAGGGTTAATTGCTGTATTTGTGGGGAAAAGAGGTGGATGGATCATCCCAAAACAAAGCTGGGGCAGGAAATCCCGAAATCCCCCCGATGCTCCTTAATTACTGGTGTAGTTATAGATGGAATAAACGAAATTATACATGGAATGACAAATTGAATTTATTCATGGAATGGTGAATTAAATTTATACAAGGAATTGTGAATTGAAATGATACATGGAATGGTTAATTGAATTTATACATGAATGGTGAATTAAATTTATACATGGAATTGTGAATTGAAATTATATATGGAATAACAAATTGAAATTATATATGGAATAACAAGCTGAATTTATACATGGAATTGTGAATTGAAATTATACATGAAATAACAAATTGAAATTATATATGGAATAACAAGCTGAATTTATAGATGGAATGGTGAATTGAAATTATACATGGAATAACAAATTCAATCTATACATGTAAAGGTGAATTGAATTTATACATGGAATAACAAACTGAATTTATACATGGAATGGTGAATTAAATGTATACATTTACACATGGAAAATCTATACATGTAAAGGTGAATTGAATTTATACATGGAATAACAAACTGAATTTATACATGGAATGGTGAATTAAATTTATGCATTTACACATGGAATAACAAGTTGAATTTACACATGGTGTAACAACTCTGAATTTAGAAATCTCCACCCATTTATCAGCCAAGAAGGAAAAATTATTAAAATAAAACAAGCAACTACAAGACAATTTTTTTTTTGTATTTCCCCTCCTAGAAACAACCTGTACAACACAAATGCTGAATTTGACTGGGGAGATTTCCGGAGCCTGAGGGAGGAAATGAGGGAAATTCCCAGAAATTCCCAGAAATTCCTCCTGTTCCTTTTCCAGTTCCAGGCCCCCGGCACCTACGTGCTCCAGCTGAGCAGCAACAAGCACAAGAGGATGGTTGGTACCCAGAAAATCCTGCTTTTTTATTTAGAATTTCCCCAAAATCCTTCTTTTTATTTTAAATTTCGCCAAAATCTTTCTTTTTTATTTATAATTTCCCCGAAATTATAAATTACAGTTATAGTTTATAAAATTATATATAAAATTATAATGCACGAAAAGCATTTTGAGCTCCAGGTGAAAGTTTGGAAGTGCAGGAAGATATAAAAAATAACAATGAGCATCCTTTTAGAGCACAGAAATAAATGGGAGGAATAAATAAATTCTTGCAAATTTGAGTCTGTAAGTACAAAAATGAATTTAAATAATTACAAATCTGATTTTGTGATGCCAGCGCAAACCCCTAACTGGCTTTCTGGCTTTGTACCCAGAAAATCTTAAATTTTTATTTATAGTTTGCCTCTTGGAGAAGAATTTTGTGCTCCAGGTGAAAGTTTGGGAGCTGCAAAAATAAAAATGAGCACAGAAATAAATGTAAAGTTTGCTCCTGTGAGGGGAAAATGTAATAAATGTAAGAAATAAATGTGAATTTGTTCCTGTCAGGGGAAAACGGGGCAATTCCTGCGAATTGGACAGTGCAAGAATTAAATAATTCCAAATTGAAATAATTCCAAATCTTAACTTGTTGTGGTGAAGTACCTGCAGGGGGACACAAAACCCTAACTGGCTTTCTGATTTCACACCCAGAAAATCTTAATTTTTTATTCATAATTTGCCTCTTTGAGAAGAATTTTGTGCTCCAGGTGAAAGTTTGGAAGTGACAAAAACGACGGCGAGCAGATTTTTATAGCCCAGAAATAAATGTTGGGGAGAAAAGGGGCAAAAACAACAATGAGCAGATTTTTTATAGCCAGAAATAAATGTTGGGGGGAAAAGGGGCAAAACCAACAGTGAGCAGATTTTTATAGCCAGAAATAAATACCGGGGGAAAAGGGGCAAAACCAACAGTGAGCAGATTTTTATAGCCAGAAATAAATACCGGGGGAAAAGGGGCAAAACCAACAGTGAGCAGATTTTTATAGCCAGAAATAAATACCGGGGGAAAAGGGGCAAAAAGAACAGTGAGATTTTTTATAGCCAGAAATAAATGTTCGGGGAAAAAAGGGGCAAAAACAACAGCGAGCAGGTTTTTATAGCCAGAAATAAATAACGGGGGAAAAGGGGCAAAAACAGCAGCAAGCAGATTTTTATAGCCAGAAATAAATGTTGGGGGGAAAAGGGGCAAAACCAACAGTGAGATTTTTTATAGCCAGAAATAAATGTTGGAGGGAAATGGGGCAAAAGCAACAGTGAGCAGATTTTTAAAGCACAGAAATAAATGTTGGGGGAAATGGGGCAAAAACAACAGCAAGCAGATTTTTTTATAGCCCAGCAATAAAAGTCAGGGGGAAATGGGGCAATTCCTGGAAACGGGCCAGCGTGAGTGCAGAAATGCAATAACTGCAAGCGGAAATAATTGCAAACGTGGCCTTGTCGCTGCAGTACGTGCGGCTGCTGCCGGCGGGGGCCCGGTGCCACCAGGACGGTCCCTTCCTGCCCAGCACGCCCGGCGTGGCTGTCCAGGTGGGAATTGCCAGGGACCGGGAGCTGCAGCTGGGCCCCGACCGGGCAGCGCTGGCCGCGCTGGGCTCCGCGCTGCTGCTGCTGCTGCTGGCTGGCCTGGCGACGGCAGTGAGGACGGTTAATTGGTCTGTAATTAATGCAAATGGATTGCTGGATTGTGATATATATATATATATTACATATATTACATTATATTATATTATATTATTTATTATACATGAGCGCTGCTGCTGCTGCTGGCTGGCCTGGCGACGGCAGTGAGGACGGTTAATTGGTCTGTAATTAATGCAAATGGATTGCTGGATTGTGATATATATATATATATTACATATATTACATTATATTATATTATATTATTTATTATACATGAGCGCTGCTGCTGCTGCTGGCTGGCCTGGCGACGGCAGTGAGGACGGTTAATTGGTCTGTAATTAATGCAAATGGATTGCTGGATTGTGATATATATATATATATTACATATATTACATTATATTATATTATATTATTTATTATACATGAGCGCTGCTGCTGCTGCTGGCTGGCCTGGGGATGGCAGTGAGTACGGTTAATTGGTCTGTAATTAATGCAAATGGATTACATTATTGTGATATATATATATATATATTACATATATTACATTATATTATATTATATTATATATTACATTAAACATGAGCTCCGCGCTGCTGCTGCTGCTGCTGGCTGGCCTGGGGATGGCAGTGAGTACGGTTAATTGGTCTGTAATTAATGCAAATGGAATGCTGGAGTGTGATATATATATGTATATATATTACATATATTGTATTACATTATATTATATATGATATTATATTATATTATATTAGATTAGATTAGATTAGATTATATATTATATATTATATTATGTTATATCATATTATATTATATATATTATATTATTTATATTATATTATATTACATTATATTATACATGAGCTCTGCACTGCTGCTGCTGCTGGCTGGCCTGGCTATGGCAGTGAGTGCAATTAATTTATTTGTAATTAATGCAAACATATTATTGGATTGTAATATATATATAGTACATATATTACATTATATTATATTATATTATATTATATTATATTATATTATATTATATTAATCATATTATATTATATTCTCCCCACTTTTCCCACTGCTGGCCACCTCCCTGGCACTGGCAGTGAGTAAAATTAATCCCAATTTTTAACTGAATATTTTAAGATTATACACAATGAACTCACAGTTTGTTTGTTCCTAATTTTTTAAAAAATATCATACATATTATATATGAGCTCTGCACTTCTCCTGCCGCTGGCCACCTCCCTGGCACTGGCAGTGAGTAAATTTAACCCCAATTTTTTAGAATATTTTAAGATTTTACACAATGAACTCACAACTCGTCCATCCCAAAACACTTCTGAACTCATTAGGGTTTTTTTCCCTGCAGCCTCCTGAGGTAATGACAGAAAATGCGATTTATTCACCCAGCAGATGCAAGAAATAATTTCATTTCCTTCCCTCGCTTTCAGCTGGGATCACTAATTCTGCTGGTTTAGAATAAATTATTAATTATTAATAATTAGAAACCAGGCTCTCAGGGTGATGATGGATAACGCTGGTGAGCGAAGCACATGAATGGGAGTTGTAAAACCAAAAAAAAGGGAATTGTTTTACTAACTTTGTGACCTTTACTTTGAACTTCGGTGAATTCTAGTGTGAATTTTGGTGATTTTATTTGGAATTTTGCGCATTTAATTTCGAATTTTGCTGATTTTATTTTGAATTTTGTGCATTTTATTTTGAATTTTTGATAATTTTATTTTGAATTTTCACGCATTTTATTTTGAATTTTGAGCATTTAATTTCGAATTCTGCTGATTTTATTTTTAATTTTTGCTAATTTTATTTCGAATTTTTGCTAATTTTATTTTGAATTTTTGTTAATTTTATTTTGAATTTTATGCATTTTATTTCGAATTTTGCGAATTTTATTTTGAATTTGGGTAATTTTATTTCGAATTTTTACTAATCTTATTTTGAATTTTATGCATTTTATTTCGAATTTTTGCGAATTTTATTTCGAATTTTTGTGCATTTTATTTCGAATTTTGGCTAATCTTATTTTGAATTTTTGCGAATTTTATTTTGAATTTTTGCTAATTTTATTTCGAATTTTTGCTAACCTTATTTTGAATTTTTGCTGATTTTATTTGGAATCCCGCAGCTGCCGCGCCGGGGCCGCCCCAGCCCCATCCCCGCGTTCCGGCGGCGGCAGCTCCGGCTCAGCCTGCACCGATATTCCTCCGCAATTCCAGCGGTTCTTGCCGTGGAAAAACCTCACCCCTGGCTGCGGCACCGGGCTGGGCGATTCTGCAGCGCTGCTGGGACAGGTCAGCAATAAAAAAAAACCTAAAAACCCAAAAAAATCCCAAAAAAAACCAAAAAAAACCCAAATCCTAAAGCCCAAAAATAGCCTAAAACCCCAAAAAGCCAAAAACAAAAAAAACCCTAAAAACCAAAAAAAAACAAAACCCAAAATAAAAAAACCCTAAAAACTGAAAAGTCTAAAACCCTAAAAATCCTAAAAACCCTAAAACCCAAAAAAAGCCTAAAAAAAAAAAAATTCTGAAAACCCAAAAAAAACCAAAAAACCCCTAAAAACCCTAAAACCCAAACAGCCCAAAACCCCCCCAAAAACTGAAATAGGCACTTAAGGATTTTTAATATCCCTAAAAACCAAAAAAAAACAAAACCCAAAATAAAAAAACCCTAAAAACTGAAAAGTCTAAAACCCTAAAAATCCTAAAACCCCTAAAACTCAAAAAACCCAAAACCCCCCCAAAAACTGAAATAGGCACTTAAGGATTTTTAATATCCCTAAAAACCAAAAAAAAAAACCAAAAAACCCCCAAAAACCCTAAACCCCAAAATACCCAAAACCCCCAAAAACCCCAAAAGAAAAAAACCCAAAAAACCCCAAAAACCCAAAAAATACCCCCAAAAACCCCAAAAGAAAAAAACCCAAAAAACCCCAAAAACCCAAAAAATACCCCCAAAACCCCCCAAAACCAGGGGCGTTCCACACAGCACAAACCCCAAATTCCGCCTCCAGTCTGCCTCATCCGGGGCGCGGCAACAACGCACAAACCAAACAAAGCAAATGAATTGCAATTAACAGACGTAATTAACGACAGCCCGTTCCCAGCCCCGCTCCCGAGGCGAGGCCAGCCCGAGGAGCCGCTGGACCTGGATTCTTTCAACACCGAAGTTTTCTTCGAGCTGCTGCTGAGGCACTCCCAGTCCGTCACCGCCACCCTGGGCCGCTTCAAAGAAGAGGTAAAAATTCTAATTCTCCATAAAAATATAATTACTCATTAATAATTAATTTTTTTGCTGGTGCTTTTCGCGTAGAGAAGCCTAAATCGGAGTAATTTTTTTTTTTTGTTTCATCAAGGATTGACTGAGGTAGAATCTTGATTTCGATTTTCAGCGGTTTAGGGCGTGAGAAATAAATCTGTGCTCGTTTTCTGAAAAGTGGGAAGAGGAGTTTTGAGTTGAGTTCTAAGATAAAATATTTTGATTTTCTTGGAATTTCTTCTCTTGGTACTGAACTGATAATTTTTGGAAAGCGACTTCAGCTTCCAGCTTCAACTTTTTATCCATAAAATGAAATAAAAAGCAGATTTTTTTACACTGGAGGTTAAACTGAGGAGAGATGAATAAATGACTTGATGAGTGTAATAAAAATTTTAATTTTATTTTATTTCGAATTTTGCGAATTTTATTTTGAATTTGGGTAATTTTATTTCGAATTTTTACTAATCTTATTTTGAATTTTATGCATTTTATTTCGAATTTTGCGAATTTTATTTTGAATTTGGGTAATTTTATTTCGAATTTTTACTAATCTTATTTTGAATTTTATGCATTTTATTTCGAATTTTGCGAATTTTATTTTGAATTTGGGTAATTTTATTTCGAATTTTTACTAATCTTATTTTGAATTTTATGCATTTTATTTCGAATTTTGCGAATTTTATTTTGAATTTGGGTAATTTTATTTCGAATTTTTACTAATCTTATTTTGAATTTTATGCATTTTATTTCGAATTTTGCGAATTTTATTTTGAATTTGGGTAATTTTATTTCGAATTTTTACTAATCTTATTTTGAATTTTATGCATTTTATTTCGAATTTTGCGAATTTTATTTTGAATTTGGGTAATTTTATTTCGAATTTTTACTAATCTTATTTTGAATTTTATGCATTTTATTTCGAATTTTGCGAATTTTATTTTGAATTTGGGTAATTTTATTTCGAATTTTTACTAATCTTATTTTGAATTTTATGCATTTTATTTCGAATTTTGCGAATTTTATTTTGAATTTGGGTAATTTTATTTCGAATTTTTACTAATCTTATTTTGAATTTTATGCATTTTATTTCGAATTTTGCGAATTTTATTTTGAATTTGGGTAATTTTATTTCGAATTTTTACTAATCTTATTTTGAATTTTATGCATTTTATTTCGAATTTTGCGAATTTTATTTTGAATTTGGGTAATTTTATTTCGAATTTTTACTAATCTTATTTTGAATTTTATGCATTTTATTTCGAATTTTGCGAATTTTATTTTGAATTTGGGTAATTTTATTTCGAATTTTTACTAATCTTATTTTGAATTTTATGCATTTTATTTCGAATTTTGCGAATTTTATTTTGAATTTGGGTAATTTTATTTCGAATTTTTACTAATCTTATTTTGAATTTTATGCATTTTATTTCGAATTTTGCGAATTTTATTTTGAATTTGGGTAATTTTATTTCGAATTTTTACTAATCTTATTTTGAATTTTATGCATTTTATTTCGAATTTTGCGAATTTTATTTTGAATTTGGGTAATTTTATTTCGAATTTTTACTAATCTTATTTTGAATTTTATGCATTTTATTTCGAATTTTGCGAATTTTATTTTGAATTTGGGTAATTTTATTTCGAATTTTTACTAATCTTATTTTGAATTTTATGCATTTTATTTCGAATTTTGCGAATTTTATTTTGAATTTGGGTAATTTTATTTCGAATTTTTACTAATCTTATTTTGAATTTTATGCATTTTATTTCGAATTTTTGCGAATTTTATTTCGAATTTTTGTGCATTTTATTTCGAATTTTGGCTAATCTTATTTTGAATTTTTGCGAATTTTATTTTGAATTTTTGCTAATTTTATTTCGAATTTTTGCTAATTTTATTTCGAATTTTTGCTAATTTTATTTCGAATTTTTGCTAACCTTATTTTGAATTTTTGCTGATTTTATTTGGAATCCCGCAGCTGCCGCGCCGGGGCCGCCCCAGCCCCATCCCCGCGTTCCGGCGGCGGCAGCTCCGGCTCAGCCTGCACCGATATTCCTCCGCAATTCCAGCGGTTCTTGCCCTGGAAAAACCTCACCCCTGGCTGCGGCACCGGGCTGGGCGATTCTGCAGCGCTGCTGGGACAGGTCAGCAATAAAAAAAAACCTAAAAACCCAAAAAAATCCCAAAAAAAACCAAAAAAAACCCAAATCCTAAAGCCCAAAAATAGCCTAAAACCCCAAAAAGCCAAAAACCAAAAAAACCCTAAAAACCAAAAAAAAACAAAACCCAAAATAAAAAAACCCTAAAAACTGAAAAGTCTAAAACCCTAAAAATCCTAAAAACCCTAAAACCCAAAAAAAGCCTAAAAAAAAAAAAATTCTGAAAACCCAAAAAAAACCAAAAAACCCCTAAAGACCCTAAAACTCAAAAAAACCCAAAACCCCCCCAAAAACTGAAATAGGCACTTAAGGATTTTTAATATCCCTAAAAACCCAAAAAAAAAACAAACCCAAAAAAAACCCCCAAAAACCCTAAAAACCCTAAAACTCAAAAAACCCAAAACCCCCCCAAAAACTGAAATAGGCACTTAAGGATTTTTAATATCCCTAAAAAACAAAACAAAAAAAAACCCCAAAAACCCTAAAAACCCTAAAACTCAAAAAACCCAAAACCCCCCCAAAAACTGAAATAGGCACTTAAGGATTTTTAATATCCCTAAAAACCAAAAAAAAAAACCAAAAAACCCCCAAAAACCCTAAACCCCAAAATACCCAAAACCCCCAAAAACCCCAAAAGAAAAAAACCCAAAAAACCCCAAAAACCCAAAAAATACCCCCAAAAACCCCAAAAGAAAAAAACCCAAAAAACCCCAAAAACCCAAAAAATACCCCCAAAAACCCCAAAAGAAAAAAACCCAAAAAACCCCAAAACCCCAAAAAAATACCCCCAAAAACCCCCAAAACCAGGGGCGTTCCACACAGCACAAACCCCAAATTCCGCCTCCAGTCTGCCTCATCCGGGGCGCGGCAACAACGCACAAACCAAACAAAGCAAATGAATTGCAATTAACAGACGTAATTAACGACAGCCCGTTCCCAGCCCCGCTCCCGAGGCGAGGCCAGCCCGAGGAGCCGCTGGACCTGGATTCTTTCAACACCGAAGTTTTCTTCGAGCTGCTGCTGAGGCACTCCCAGTCCGTCACCGCCACCCTGGGCCGCTTCAAAGAAGAGGTAAAAATTCTAATTCTCCATAAAAATATAATTACTCATTAATAATTAATTTTTTTGCTGCTGCTTTTCGCGTAGAGAAGCCTAAATCTGAGTAATTTTTTTTTTCATCAAGGATTGACTGAGGTAGAATCTTGATTTCGATTTTCAGCGGTTTAGGGCGTGAGAAATAAATCTGTGCTCGTTTTCTGAAAAGTGGGAAGAGGAGTTTTGAGTTGAGTTCTAAGATAAAATATTTTGATTTTCTTGGAATTTTTTTCTCTTGGTACTGAACTGATAATTTTTGGAAAGCGACTTCAGCTTCCAGCTTCAACTTTTTATCCATAAAATGAAATAAAAAGCAGATTTTTTTACACTGGAGGTTAAACTGAGGAGAGATGAATAAATGACTTGATGAGTGTAATAAAAATTTTAATTTTTTATAGTAAATATATTCATTTTGCTGCCGAAATCAATAGGAAAACATTTCACAGCCCAAATCTGAGCCCACCTGTGGCACTCTGGGAGCTCCAGGTGAGGTTTTAAAGACAGCAGAGGGAGCTGGATCACAGACAAATAATAAATAAATATTAATTTAATGATTAATAATAAATAACGTGGGGAAAAATCATCATTCCCCAGTCTGAGCCTAACTGCCATCAATGTGCTTGCACCAAAAATTGCCCCAGTTTGGGCTTTAGCACAAAAAGGGAAATTCCACCAAATTATCCCTTCACTCCTAAAATCAGCTTTTTATTTTATTTTATTTTTATAAATTTTTATTTCTTTTCTCTTTGTTTTGTACTTCAGGTGAAAGTTCTGTATCACAGGGTGATGGATGAAATCTCCCTGCTGAAAAAGCTTTGGCTGAAGGCTCTGAGCACCCCAGGAAAGGGGGAGGAAGAGGAGGAGGAGGAGGAAGAGAGAACAGGGGGAAAAGAGCAGGTAGAGCTCAGCTCAGCAGGAGTTATAAATGGAATAAATGAAATAAAAGATGGAATAAATGGAATAACAAATTGAATTCATACATAGAATGGGGAATTGAAATTACACATGGAAAACCAAGTTGAATTTATACACGGAATGGGGAATTGAATTTATACATGGAAAAAAATTTGAATTCACACATGGAATAACAAATTCAATTTATTCTGGAATGGTGAATTGGAATTAATACATGGAATTGTGAATTGAAATTACATATGGAATAACAAATTAAATATAGACATGGAATGGTGAATTGAAATTATACATGGAATAAAAATTTGAATTCACACATGGAATAACAGATTCAATTTATTCATGGAATGGTGAATTGAAATTATACCTGGAATAACAAATTAAATATATACATGGAATGGTGAATTGAAATTACACATGGAATAACAAATTAAATATAGACATGGAATAGGGAATTGAAATTATACATGGAATAACAAGTTGATTTCACACATGGAATAACAAATCACATTTATCCATGGAACGGTGAATTGAATTTATACACGGAATAAGAAATTGAATTCTCTTCTAGAAATTTGAGGCACAACCACGTAAAATGTCACTTTCAGCACAGCAGATGTTTAATATTTTATAGGCAGCAAAACAATTTGTCCATAAACAAGAGGTGACACCCAAAAACTGCAGGGGATCAGAGCAAAATAACAAAATACTTACTCAAGAAAGACACTACATATAAGTCAATATTCAGATTATATTTGCAATATTTCTATTAATTTGGAGGGTGTGAAAAGCACAGAGTTTGGGACAATAACCTCAGGAAAAAGTTTTTAAATTGCTGCAGCATTCCTTGGCCTTGGGACAATCTGTTATTAATCCATAATTTAATTTTTACAAGAAAAGGCCGGGGATGCCAGGAGGTTTGGTTTTATAAAATCCTATTTTTGATGGGTGTCAGAGGCTGTGTGCTGTTCCAGGTGCCTTCCCCTGGGTCCCCACGGGGCTTTGGGAGCTCCCAGAGCCCCAGGATTTACGGCAGCAGTGAAATGCCAAGTGATCCACGGGAGTTCATCCCCCAAAAACTGATCCCACTGCTCCAGTCCGTGCTCCAGATGCTGGAGGAAAACAGAAAAAGCAATTTATCACCAGGTAAGGGAGGGAGAAAAGCCCTGCCACTCCCCCTTATTTTATTCTAATATTATTTCAGCTTTAAATCCACAAGATTCTCCTGCAAATCAGACTTTTTTGTCCTTTTTTGTCAAAGATCTCCTTGGGCTTAATGAGCAAATTAAATTGGTGAAATCACCTGTAGGACTCAGTGTTCCCCGCCAGGCCTCAAAGTTAAGGTAAATTTTGAAGAAATCATTCTTTTTCTTGCAGAAAACCTATTTCCCTCCTGTTTTCTTGCCCAGGCTACTCCTCGAGGAGCACTTTAAAAGCCTCTGCTGCTCGCACAGAGGGGTTAAAAAGTGGAGAAAATGGGAAAACCACTCCAGCTCCCTCAGCATCCCCCGCCCTGCTCCCCTCACCTGCAGCGAGGATCACCCACCTGCAGCAGGAAACGCAGACAAGGTGACAAATCCGTGTTATTCCCTCATTTCTGCTCACAAAAATGCATTTTTTTTGCAAGTTTTTCCCCTCAGGAAGTTTACCTTTGGGGGATTGTGGCTGAGGAGGAGATCCCCGATCCTGTGTGGGCGAGGGCAGAGATTTTTGGGAAGCAGAGGTGCCGGCTGTGCTTTCCAGGCTCTTTGTGCACATCTGCACAGCTGTTTGCAGGTGCCCTGTGCACATCTGGCTGCAGCTTCCTCCGGCAGGAGCACAGCTGGAACTTTATCTTCTCCCGTGCAGATAAACTTTTAATATTGCTATTTCTCCCCTCCTAATTTCAACTTTTTCCTGGTTTTTTTTTTTAGCCCCAAGGAGCAAACCGTGAATTCCCTGCGAGGAGCACTTTAAAAGCCTCTGCTGCTCGCACAGAGGGGTTAAAAAGTGGAGAAAATGGGAAAACCACTCCAGCTCCCTCAGCATCCCCCGCCCTGCTCCCCTCACCTGCAGCGAGGATCACCCACCTGCAGCAGGAAACGCAGACAAGGTGACAAATCCGTGTTATTCCCTCATTTCTGCTCACAAAAATGCATTTTTTTTGCAAGTTTTTCCCCTCAGGAAGTTTACCTTTGGGGGATTGTGGCTGAGGAGGAGATCCCCGATCCTGTGTGGGCGAGGGCAGAGATTTTTGGGAAGCAGAGGTGCCGGCTGTGCTTTCCAGGCTCTTTGTGCACATCTGCACAGCTGTTTGCAGGTGCCCTGTGCACATCTGGCTGCAGCTTCCTCCGGCAGGAGCACAGCTGGAACTTTATCTTCTCCCGTGCAGATAAACTTTTAATATTGCCATTTCTCCCCTCCTAATTTCAACTTTTCCCTGGTTTTTTTTTTTTTAGCCCCAAGGAGCAAACCGTGAATTCCCTGTCCCCCTCAGAGCTGGAGGATCGAGTGGATGCTTTGACTGAGGAGCTGCTGCAGATTGCAGAGGATGAAGAGCAGTTCTTCAGCAGCAAAGGCAACGAAGATCTGCTCTCTTATTACCTTGAAATAACCAGCTTGGAGAAGGAGAGTTTGCTGAAACAAATCGATGCTTTGGAAGAGGAAATAGCCCAGGGCAGAAAGTTGTGATGCTCAGAACTCCGTGGTTGCTTCCTGCTCCTCTGCATTGGGCATTAGGCTCCAGCCCAAAGGAAATCTCTATTTCTGCCTCAATTCCAGTGTTTCTCCTCTCCATCCCAAAGCAAATCTCTATTTCTGATTTAATTCTAGTGTTTCTCCTTCCATCCCAAAGGAAATCCCTATTTCTGCCTCAGTTGCAGTGTTTCTCCTCTCCATCCCAAAGCAAATCTCTATTTCTGCCTCAATTCCAGTTTCCCCTCTCCATCCCAAAGCAAATCTCTATTTCTGCTTCAATTCCAGTGTTTCTCCTCTCCATCCCAAAGCAAATCTCTATTTCTGCCTCAATTCCAGTATTTCTCCTCTCCATCCCAAAGCAAATCTCTATTTCTGCCTCAATTCCAGTATTTCTCCTCTCCATCCCTAAGCAAATCTCTATTTCTGATTTAATTCCAGTATTTTTCCTCTCCATCCCAAAGCAAATCTCTATTTCTGCCTCAATTCCAGTGTTTCTCCTCTCCATCCCAAAGCAAATCTCTATTTCTGCCTCAATTCCAGTTTCTCCTCTCCATCCCAAAGCAAATCTCTATTTCTGCCTCAGTTCCAGTGTTTCTCCCCTCCATCCCAAAGGCTCATTAAATCAGGAGGGAGAGCAGTGCAGGGATGGAAGTGACAAGATTTTGGCTGCAGGAAATGACATTTCTGGCCACATCCAAGCGCTGAGAAGAAATATAGCTGCAAAAATCCCAGAGTCAGGGTTTCCAGGAACAGCAGCAAAATATAGAACCACTCAAGTCCCAGTGTGAAATAAATTATTCTTTAAACTAATGCATCACTCCACGAGGTGTTCTGAGGCCTCTGCAGCTGAGAGCTGCAGATTTCTGATTTTATGACACAGCAAAAACTGCAGATACGGTTACTTGGGTTAATTATTTCTGTTTAATTACACTTAAAGTGCAAGAAATATTCTTTTCCACCACTGAAGCGACTTCTGAAGTCGCCTTGTTTCAGCTCTGTGCTCCCACCCAGCCAGGAATGCACTGCCCAGGACCATTCCTGCTCTTAAACCTGGGGAGTGAGTCTGTCCTCTTCCCAAATTCCAGAGCCAAACCCCAAAACATGAAACATTCAGTATTTCCCAATCAGTGAAACATCAGCCCAGCCTCCAGGGTAGATAAAAAACAAGTGAGGGAAGAGCAAAATCACTCAAAACTCTTTTTTTTTTCCCCCCCCCCCCATCAATACAAAACTCATGGGGGCACAGCAGAATTTAAATATTTTTGTGAGTCACTAAATACCCCAGACACTTCTGCTGGTGACATTTAGGTCTTGGCTTCTGACACCTTTGCCAGAAGGAAGCAAAGTGTTTTTCAAAGCAGCTTGGGGGTGTTTTATCTTCCTTCACCTGCTGGTGCTTGCACCAAAAAATCTCCTGAACACCCTTCAAGGCACCACCAGCAGCTGGCTTTGATAAAAAAACATCAGCAGATTTATTGATTTATGCATTTCCTTTTTAACTCACAAGCAGAGCCTCACATTACATCTTCAGTCTTATGTTAACATCAATTAAAAACATTTAAAATCCAGGAAGAAGAAGAAAAAAACAAACAAAAATCCCCCAAAATATGGATAAATAGAGTCAGAGACAGGGATTCCACAGGAAGTGCTGTTTTTATGAGGTTTTGCAGTGCCAGCCTTCACCCCCTCATAACAGCAGGGCTCCACAAGCCCCGAGGAGCCTCGGCTCTACCTCTTGGTGTTGATCCAGTGGTACCTGTCCACACGTGGGCCAGCGAAGGTGGCCGTGGGTCTGTAGGTCCTGTAGCCCCTGTGCTGGCCAAAGTGGGAGCCCTCGGCCGCGGGGGGCTTCCTGTGCAGGTACTGCCACCAGGGCTGGGGGGGAGCCTTGCAGAAGTCACCAAACTCAGCAGCAAAAAAGGGGGGAAAAAATGTTAAAATGTGCTGGGGGAGGTGGGGGAGCAGTCAGGCCACCCCAGTCCCACCCCAGTCCTTCCAGCTGCCTCCTCCCAAAGCTCATCCCACCCACAGCACCACCGAGGCTGGGAAAAGCCTCCAAGGACAAGCCCTGAGCAGTGTCCCCAAGGGCCACAACTTGGAAACCCTCCCCAGGGATGGTGGATCCATCAGGGCTGGTCAGCACCCCGTGGAAACAACTCAATTCTTCATGGAAACAATTCTTCAAATAGTTCTTACACTGCTCTTAAAACACATGGAGTGATGTAAAGAGAATTAGCAAGAAACAGGGCCACAGCTCCTAAACTTTGTTTCACAAAGCACGGACAAGTTTGACATCTAAAACCAGGCTGTGCACAATTTTTTGGGACAGTGACACCACCTGCCAGGGCTGGAAAACCCTTCCAGGGGACAAATTAAATCTGAACTTCCCTTGGAGCAGCTCAGGGCTGTTTCCTCCTATCCTGACCCTGGGAGAGGAGCCTGACCCCACCTGCCAGGGCTGGAAAACCCTTCCAGGGGACAAATTAAATCTGAACTTTCCTTGAAGCAGCCCAGGGCTGTTTCCTCCTATCCTGTCACTGAGAGAAGAGCCTGACCCCCCCTTGCCATCACCTCTCTGGAGGGATTTTAGGATGAGGAGTCCCCAGGAGCCCCAGCTCACCTGGTAGATGCTGTTGGGGTTGCTGACGGTGGGGATGGCTCTGGGCTCCTTGCTGAAGGTCTCTTCATCCGAGGAGGTGCTGGAGTGACAGTCCAGGGCTGCCCTGCCCACGGCCAGGCTGATCTGCTGGGGCAGCTCGGGGTTCTCCTCGCCATCAAAGTATGCCACGGTGAAGGGCCGGCTCCTCTCGCCGTACCTGCAAGGGCTGCAGGTGGGTGCTGCTGCTCTGCCAGCAGCCAGCTCGCCCCACAAGGCGCCAAACCCTCAGGGGTTAATGCTGGGAGAAGCTTTGGGCTGATGGAACACCCAGCGCCTGGCATTTGTCAGCCCCCAGCTAAGTTCTCCTCGCAGCTCAGTCACACAGAACAATCCTTTTCCAGCCCCAAAATCAAGGGCGCCGCTGCAGCCTCAGCCCAAAAAGTGCAAACAGCAGAATTGTAGGAGAGCAAACTGGGAGGGTGGGACTGCAACACCTGGAGCTGGAATTGGACAATGAACCCAACGTGGAAATGGAGCAAAACTGATAAAAATGTGAAAACTCATGACTTGAGTACCATCTTGGGGGGAGCCTTGGCCAGGCTCCTGTACTGCCCAAGATGCAAAAACCTTTCAATGAATCCCCACTTTATTCCTTTAGCTCTGGCCAGCCTCTGCTCCCAAAATGTCACAGTCATATTTTCTGGAAAAATCTCTTCACCCAGGATTTTTCTCCCGGGAAGCTGAGAAGCCTCAGAGAAAAGGAAAACAATTCTTAGCTCATTTGCTTCTCCTGTGTTGTGCTCATGTGGAATGTGTTTGGAGATTGTTCACCCACAGGTGGTTGTTTTATTGGGTTTTTGCTGTGAGTTATTTTGACTTATTGGCCAATCAGGGTCGAGCTGTGTCAGGACTCTGGAGGGAGTAACAAGTTTTCATTATTATCTCTTTACCCTTCTGTCTGTAGCCTTTCTGTATCCCTTAGTACAGTAGAGTATTTAATAGAATTTAAGACATAATATATATTTACATATTATATATATAATATAATAGATAAATATATATTAAAAGTATATATTCAAAATCTATGTATTCAATATATAATTATATATAAACATATATAAATTATATATTAAGTTATATATTAAATTATATAATAAATGATAAATTACATAAAAATGATATAATACATTAAATTACATAAAAAATGATATAACACATGAAATTATATAATAATAATTTAATGTATTATATCATTTATTATGTAATTTAATGTATTATATAATTTATTATAATGATATAATACATTAAATTATATAATCAATTATATAATACATTCAATTATATAATCAATTATATAACACAATCAATTATATATTAAAACATACAATTCATTATGTCAGGTAACAACGTGTTAAACCACGCGTTAAACCACGCGTTAAACCACGCGTTAAACCACGCGTTAAACCACGCAACATATTAAATTAAATAGTGACATGCATACTCTATTAAATTATATCACATATATTTAATATCTAACACATCATTTAACACGATATGGTCCCAAATGAATAAATTAGCCTCCTGAGCACGCGGCGTCAGACCCGGCACTCCTCCTCCCCACGCCCAGCGCCAGGCCAGGCGGAGCTCACCTGCAGCACACCTGGAAGGGATCCACCCACAGCGTCATCTCCTCGGGCAGGCCCAGCAGCTGGAAGTCCACGTCGCTCTCCGCGCAAGCCCGCTCCAGCAGCGGATCCCGAGCCTGGTGCTTGTTGATCCTGATGCACCTGGGGACGGCAGGGCGCGCCCAAAATCTCCGGTTGTTGTCGCTTTTGGGCTGTTGATGCTCTCCCTTAGAGCCCCAAGCAGAAATTCAGCCTCACAAGATGGTTTATCAGCTCAAACAGGAGCTGGCTTTTAGCTCTCATCAATAGCTGATGAGGCAAGTCGCTGATTTAGTGTTTGAAATAAAACCACCCCAAAAGTCGCTTTGAGACAGCTTGAATTCTGCATCCTGGGAGCCAGGGGCTATTTGAAACACTGGTCTTAAGATTTCCACCTCAGCTATCTAATAACATATTTACAAGTTAAAAATAATTTTTTTTAAAAAATCCACCTCAGTTCTCTAATCCCACATTGACAGGTAAATAAAGATTTCCACCTCAATTCCCTAACCACACATCTGCAGGCAAAATAAAAAGATTTCCACCTCTGTATTCTAATCCCATGTTTACAGGTAAAAGAAAAGAAAGAAAAATCCCACCTCAGTTCTCTAATCCCACATTTACAAATTAAAAAAAATATTTCCACCTCAGTTTTCTAATCCCACATTTACAGGTAAAAAAAAAAAAGATTTATGCCTCAGTTTTCCACCTCTAATCCCACATTTACAGGT